GGACGCACAGGACATGGGCCGGAGCCTGAGGTTGACGTACTTTGGTGGTAGGGCTCAGGGGAGGTGAGCTTGGTCTGGTGTTCCCCTCCAAGCCCAAGGGGCTGGGGGTCTTGGGCTGCTGACATCTCTGGTGCTGTGGATAGAAAGCCCAGACAACCAGGTGACCCCTCCTGCAGCCGGGCCCTGCTGAAGCCGGCGCTTTCCCCTGGCTGGGCCTCAGGGGCTGTCTCTGGAATTCTTAACAGCAGAGCAGTGTCCTGGGGAGTGGACATGCTGTGGGCCTGGGAAGCTACAGTCTGGGGCAGGGGGAGCTGAACTGATCACGGGACCCACGGGGTGTGGTAGGGGTGGGAGGGTGCTGGGACCCTTGCAGTAGCCCTCACCTCCTCTGCCTCCCCAGCCTCTGCCACCTCCTGGTGGCCCTGGACAGGCTCCTCTGGGCCAGACCCCTCTTGGCTCAAACCTAGCTGTTCCAGGTGGACACTGGCTTGCCGCAGCCCATCACTGATGTCATTTCCACAGGTTTGCTGGCAGGACCTGTGGGTCGGACAGGCAAAACCGACTGAGGGCCACCCAGCAGCTTGGCTAGGGTCCTGTCCCATTCCTCCTCTCAGTTTCCCCATCTATAAACGACGGCAGTCCAACCAGGTGACCCCAGAGCCAGCCCCACTTCCTAGACCTGTGCTGAGGCCCGAGGTCCCTTCCAGAAGAGCAGCCACTGCCCGGTCCAGGCTGTGCAGGGCCACCCAGGCGCTGGGTGGACCCCTCCCTACAGGCCCCTCTGAGGCCAGCCTGTCTGTCCACAACCTCCTGCCTGCTCCTGCCCCACTCCGTGTGTGGGCAAGTGGCTCGCAGAGCAGGACGTCCAGGGGAGGGAGGGAGGGGTCGGGGGAAGTTTGGGGGGCCTGGGTCAGGTGGTGGGCGAGGCGAGGAGGGGACTGCCTGACACAGGGAGACGCGGGCCTGCGGGCAACGGGGGTGGCTCTGCGTCTGAGCGGGACTGAACCTGGAGAAGAAGATGGTAAATTCCTGGGTTTTCCATGATTTCAGGCCCCTTGGTGTACCTGCCAGCCAAGGCCCAGACCCAGCCGCCCAAGGTGGGCCGGGGTCGGAGCCAGGGCAGCCACACAGAGAGGCCATTCAGCAGCTCACTGTCCTTGTGGTTAGGCAGGTGTGGGTGGGGTGGAGGCTGCAGGGGCCCAGAGATCCTCCAGAAGAGCAAAAGCGCCCCCTGCTGTTGGGCGGGGGCAGGAGGAAGCCAGCCCGTTGGCGGCCGCTCCCTGTGAGAGACCCAGAGTGTGCAGGGAAGACAAAGGCCCTGCAGGGAGGCTGAGGAGTGGGCAGGCAGGGGACCTCAGGTGTGGGAGCCTGGCTGTAGGTGAAAGGGGGCAGCAATGACACGGGGGAGGGCTGAACCAGCACTCTGGCTGCCTGGGGGCCTCAGAGGGGCCGCGGGCTCTGGATCAGGGAGCATGGGCAGCACGGCCACAGGCTCTGGCTACTTGAGGCCCTGGCCCCAAGCTGGGGGCAGAATTCTGAGCAGGGTTGGAGGCCTACCATGCCCAGGCCTGATGGGCTAGGGCTGGGGGTCTTCCTGCAAACAGCTCCTGGTTACTCAGAGCAGCTCAGACCCGGAGCTGGGGGAGGGCCAGGTGAGGGTCTGGGAACAGACCCCATCCGTGGGCCCAGGGTTGCTTTGGGCCCCAACCGCCCTAATTCAGAGGCACACACGTCCAAACATCTGGAAAGTGTGTCCCCCCTCCCCAGGCTGACTTGCAGGCACACATCTGGAAATACCTGCTCCCCTCCGTGGGAATGGAGATCAGCCAGCCCCCAGGGAGGGGGTGGCGGCCGGGGCTGCAGAGCTAGCATTACGTAAGTGGGCTGCAGCTGTGCGCTGATGTGGCCGCCCCCAGCCCCCCACTCCCACCGCCCACCCCCGCCGCAGCTGGTCTGGATGGGGCCCAGGGGCCCTGGGGAGCCCAGGAATGAAATTTCCTCACCGCCCGCCTGCAGCCCCCTCCCCGCCGCCCTGCTGTCTCGCTCCCTTCCTCCTTCCTCCCTCACAGCCATGAGCACTGGGGAGCGGGCTGGGAACGCAGTCAGAGGCGCTGGGTAGGTGCAGCCTCCGCCCCACTTGCCTGTCCTGCTTGCCCTCTGGACCTTCTCCAGCATCCAAGGCCCCCTCCTCAACCCAGTGCTGCTGTCGCTGCTGCTCTGACTTCTGGGACCAGTCACCAAAACCCTCGTCCTCATCTAGTTCAGGGGCCTCCGAGGGCTTCCCTCCGAGGCTGCAGGGAAGTAGAGGTGTTAGATGTGCCCCTGCTCCCCTTCCCCGGCCTCCTCCAGCCCACCCTGGGCCCCAAGAGAGGGAGACCCATCTGCCTCAGAGCTGGCCCATGGCTAGGCTCTGCTCCCCATGGTCAGAACCCTTTAGGGCAACACTTCCCCCACTATCCATCTGAGGTCCCCCCAGCAAGGCTGGGCCTCCCCCATGGGC